TCCAACCTTAGTAATGATTCTATGATTCTAACTCGGCTATGCCAGCTTTTCTTGTCCGGCTGCAAGGGAATTGGGAGGTCCCTGGCGGTATAGTTTGGATAAAGGATGGTGGCACATGTGAAGAGGGTTTCATTCCACCAGTGCCAGTGGAGTGCTCCAGGAGATGGGGACTGGTCAGCCTGCTTTTGCCAAGCCTGGTTCCTGGGCCATGTTCTCAAAGAGCAGGTTCATTCACTCTCCTGCATGCTTTCTCTGGAGGGGCACTCTCAAAGTATCCTGAAGGCAGGCAGTTAACCATGCTTTGCAGGTGCCTCTTTACCATGGGACTGCGAGGATGCCAACATAGTTAAAGGTGTGGGAGCCTGATGCCATGTGTAAAATGAAGCTTATTCCTGGCTCAGAAGAAGCAAATTAGGGGAAGAACATTGTTTTTTCATTTTAATTTTCCATGCTCTATATGTGCAGTGCATAACATGACTTCAGCATAAACATCTGGCTAAATTATGTTTAATTCAGAAACTACATTTACATGTTGCATCTTCTGGCAGACGGAGTGCCTCCAGAATTTCAAATTGGTGGAAGTTCTTATGGGCAGTAAGCAAGGTAAGTGAAGGAGCATTGGCCAAAGGCTCATCTGTAACTGATCTTCTAGCTTTTTTTTTTTCACTTTTGACACAGTTGTAGTTATTTTTTTACAATAAATGCCTTCACAAATGAAACTTCAATGTCATGTTGAAATGCTTAATGAGAAATTATGTTGGTTCTTTTTGGTCTTGTGTGTTCTGTGGGAATATGGTTCCCTTCTCTTTCTTCATTGTCTCTGAAAGATTTATTAGTAGTTTCTGGTGGGTATTGACACTTTGGCAAAGAGCCCCCTTTTGAGGAGTTGCCTTTAACATAATTTTCATAATTGCAGTTATTTAGTAAAGATTGATTGTAAAGTTCGGTTGCATCCCTTCCTTCTCTCCTCTTTTTCCCGACACTGCCCCCAAACAAGAGCAAATTCAAGTTCTGAGATAGCCCAAGGAGTGTGCATTCTGAAGTACAGAGATGTTTGGTCCTAGCATTGCTGAAGAGGTTCGTGATCCTGCAGAAGCTGAGCTGGTGTTTTCCAAGTCCACATCCCTTTGTGCTTCATTATTTCTAAGGCTGCATGGAGAGATAAATAAAGCCACTGAAGTAGTCTGATGACTTGGGCACACCCAAGTTAATATCTTCGTAGTTCAAATACTGGCCTGATACTTTGCTTTCTTTGTGAGCATTGTCAGTAGGTTGTTTTGTAAGGTTATTGTAGCCTTATGAATGTCTTACCCTGGTTAGTTTCTGGTGCTGTTTTAAAGCATCATTTACAACCTTGCTTTCACTGGAAATGGTTACAATTGTTTTAATATTTTAATAAAATACAGAAGTTGGTTATTACTGTAGTTGTCAGGGAATATAGTTTTAAAGTATTCTGTCAAAACAGTTAGCTTGTCACCAAAGTACTGCTTGTCTTTTGAGTGGCTTCAGGCTGTTTCTGCCTTTTTTTAAAGGAGGGTGGTGTTTAAGAACTGTGAACAAAATCAGTCTGTTCAAAGCACCTACATGGTTTTTCTGTTGAACAATGAGTAATTCAGGTCTTTGTCGTCCTTTATGTTAATGTTAGTTGTACGTAGAGTTGTGAATTTTCCCTAAAATTGTTTTTGATAATAACTTACAGTGCTTTCAAGCATGTTTAATGTTCTTGCTGTCTCTAGTTCAGCGCATGGTGTTGGACAATCAGGAACTGATTCTTAACAGACTGAAGGACATAAGAAAGGTAAATCTGAAAAAGAAACATGTTCCTTTTTTATAGCAAGTAAGGAATCCCCTTTCTTACAGAAAAAGTAGGTAATCAGTTACTCCCCACAGCTGGCTCATCTGTAGCTTAAGTGTTTGGACTGAAGTTTGTTTCTCTTCATGGTATTCTCCAGGCATAGATAACTTGATTGCTAAGTTCAGAACTATTTGGGATTTTGTTTCACAGTATCTTTTTGCCAAATGTCATGTCATTTATTTTTCTTTATTTCGGCAGACTTCAATACGTCAGATGAATCAAACAAGATTTTACATTGTGCAAAACAGTAAATCCATTGTACGAGTAAATTTATTTGTTGGTGGCCTTCCACCTCAGCTTTCACCTGAAGAATACACAAATATTCTCAAGGATGAATTAGCTATCAAAAGTAAGTAAGCAGGTCCATTTTGAGATATATTCACTGGTACAGAAAAAAAGTGTAGTAGCATCTATTTCTCCTTTTAATTATTTTTTTTCTTAACGTTTTCTGACTGTATTTGAAAATCAGTCTGCCTTGTACTCTCATAGGGGGCTTTTTTATTCATTTTAATATGCATGAGAGAGAGCTCCTTATTCACAGAATTATTACTACATTACTTGAGTTATATGTGACCACACCATTTTTTTTAGTGAAAAAGGGTCAGTTTTAGGAGTGAACTGTACCTAGCTCACACCATTCAAATTATGGCAGTGCCGTTTGACTCCCTGTGCATGAATGGTCCTCGCCTGTACTAACCTTTAACATTTTTTGCATGGGCTGTCCTCCATGTTGTTCATAAGCCCTGTGCCTGGTCATGGAGAAGTATGAGTAGTGTGTGCACGCACATATGGACAAGCACTCAGTGAAAATAATTTATTTTTCTTTTTCAAAGAAGTGTAATAATACTCTTTCAACCGATGTGTTCTATAAACACTGTCAGGAATGGGTCATGCTTTTTGTTTCAAGAAACGAAGCGTTTTTCCCAATCTTTTATGTAACTTCAAGATGAATTAAACTTTAAATGCCAGAAAAAATTCATAGTCACCTTTTATGAAAATCAGTTTAGCTTTTCTAACTTGCAAAGTAAACTCAGCAGAGGGAGTGTTAGCTGGAGGTTCTCCTTCTATTTGTATAACTTTTAATATTTATTTATATTATATTTATGTAACTTAAAAATATTTTAAATATTTACTCTAAATGTACCCAAGGTTTTATGTGTTGATATTTTTACCTTTTGCAGCAAATGTGGTATCTGTGAGTCATGTTTATCAAGCACAAGGTAAGCATTAAGATTTTCAGTCTTGCAAACAATGTCTATTTTCAACACTGTAGCCTAATACTAGATGCTCTGAGCTCAGAGTATATTAGTATTCTTGCATAAGCAAAAAGCCCTTCAGATAAAATGTAACACGTTGTATTTATGACAAGCAGTGAATTAGTGTTACTGTAGTAAAAAAAGAATTAAAATGTTAGCTTTGTGCCTCGTGTACCAGAGAGTTAGTGATATTTCATCCTAAAAGTGAGTTTTGAACTTTCACTTCAACTGAATATTATAACACCACTGAACTGTCAGAAACCCTTCAAGTGCTCTCTCTTTGACTTCTAAAGTACTAAAATTTGTTACTGCTTTGGAACGTGATGGGGTTGTTTCACAATCACTGTTTCCTAGCACTGTGTTAAGTGGGGGTTCAGCGGCTGGAAGTCTGAAGAAAATCAGTACACTTATCTCTGCATTCATCCTTTGAGCTGTTGCTTTGCTTTTGCTGTATGAATTTTATTTCAGCAAGGTTGGAGAAGCCGTGAGGCTTCTGAGAGCTGGAGCAG